TTGTTAAAAAATTATAAAACTCACGAGTCGCGAGCACTTGTTGATTTAATTTTTTACTTTCGCCTATAGGCTATAGTTCCCATGTATAGTAAAAGGTTTTCCAATTAATGCGGGTCGATGTTATCTGCGCTGTATGGCCTAATCGTTTTGTTTACGTCTTTATATTTTATTGTAAATTATTCAGTCATACGTGCCAAATCATCATGGCGAGTTACACTATTGAGCAGCACGTCCAAATGATAAAACTTTTTTATCAAAATCAAAGTTCGATAACTCAAACATTGCGCTCGTATACATATTTTATACTTACAACCTACGCCCACCATAAACTCTCAAAATATTGTTGAGAAGTCATAGGTATACTGCTGCATGAATCTCAAGTAATTCGTGAATAAATGAAAAGAGCTCTTAAGCCACGAAGGATAATTGAGAAATCTAATTCATGATAGACTATATCCAATAAAGAATCTTCTTTATGGGTCATCTTCTAGAATCCAATTACATCATTCTTACAGGAACTAATAAGTAGGTATACTAGGGCTCTTGCAAACGGGTTATTCCTGGGATTCGAAATCGGAACAACCATCTTGATGAATTAATTAAGCCATAAGCCAAACCTATTAAAAATATAACATTAGTCACATTTCCTTTCACTAAGCGTATTATGTAGATATATTAAATGCCATTACAACAGGCTGATGGGTTCATGAATCATGATAAATACCCATAGTTCAGGAAACCATTTACAAAAACCGATTTTTACCACGTTCAATTTTAATCTTGCCATAAATTATAATAATAATAATAGTACTATATTGGAATCATACTCCAACATTATAGAAAAAATTTATTTTAATTTTGTTAATACCTCTCCATTTCAATTTTCCATACTCGACGGCTTAGTATATAAACATTTAATACATATTATTATAACGTATGACTATTGACTGTATGAATGCGTATGGCACGAATCGCCAAGATACTGACCACGGTATCTATATATTATGGTAAACACAATAAAATTTCGGTAGACCGTAGACTATAATATATTCGTCACATTGTAAATGCACCTACCTATATACATTTTTCTCCATATTTAATGCTCCAAAATATTTTTTTAACTACTTCTGTAAATTGTAATTTGTATAGGTTTTTTTTAGTGGAGGGGCTCACTAATTGCATTATTCTCGTCGTCATCGTCGAAATAATATAATATAATAATATACCGGTAGATGTACTGCAGTCGCGATTATATACGCGCACGCACGTACACATTCGCACACACACAAACAAACACAACTCATATATATATAATATATATTAATAATATAATAATAGCAATACTCACACACATAAGCGTACGTTCGTATAATATAAGACGTTGGGTGTGCGGTCTTGTGTGTGTGTGAGCAATTCTCTTCCATTGGTCGCTTGTATAGTAGGGGGAATGAACTTTTCAGACAATATACCGACCACCGCCGATCGTCTTGCAACTGAGTACCTGTACACTGCCACAGAATCTATACGCACTAGCGACGACGAAGACGACTTCACACACAGATACACGCACTCACTCGCGTGTAAGTATACTTGCGTTCTGCTTGGAATCATCTCACGAAAAAAAGAGACGACGGGGACGACAAAAAAAAAAATTATAAATAAATAAATTATAAAAAAAAATCTCCAAACAAAACTCACACAACCGATGCAACAAGTACCTGTACATACAATAATGTAATATATAAATATATAATATTATACTCAAGCCGTTTTCCGTCGCGTTCCATACAGTGCATTATTACATGCGTCGTACATTATTTGTATGTATAATGTATAATGTATAATTTATATATTATATTGTATACCTAACCAACCACCTATAAGTATATGATAAATGTATGTAATACGCTGCGTGTTGCCGTGTTATACGCATCATTCGCAGTTCACACGCCAGCCGTGATCGCAAATACCTTAGGTACAATAATTCATGTATTTACTGCAGCATCCTAATATACCTTTGAGTGGAAGGGGTTTAAGAGGTTTCCACCTCTGGATCATTAACTATATACATGAAGCCAATTTAAATATTTTTTTGAGCTCATAAAAAATAAAAAAATACAATAATATTGTTAAATTGTTTGACGGAAAGACGATAGTATTTGGTATCATGTTGTAGATAAAGTAATAAATATTATAAAAAGGTGGGTAAGTTTATGACTCTCTGCTGTATACAGTAGGTTACAAGGGGGTCACTGTATAATGGATGGTATTAAATTTGGATTCAGTGATATACGATAAATATATATAATTATTTATAATATATATCATTGTATTTATTATTTGTATACGAAAAACGATTCTGAGCGGAGACGGTTTGTCAGTGTAGATATTTTATATTATATTTACCTACATTGTTATTACCTACTTATTAGTTATTATTAATACAGTAGCCGGCAAGTTGAATTAATATTATAAAATTACAAAAAAATAACTAAAATCGTTATTCTTGGTTATTTAAAACCTCGTCCAGATCAAGAATCATTTTCGGAAACATGTTTTAAATTTTCAGATTTTTTTCCAAGCATAACATTTTTATCAAAAATTATAAAAAATATGTTATGAACATTTTTTCTATAAATAGCTTAAAATGTGTATACTTTTTTCAAATCTCATTGTGTAGGTATAGAAAAGATAATTTAAGGAGGTGATGGTGAAATATTTTAAATTTTTATAATAAATATCTTTTGAATAATAACAAAATAATAAAAGTTGTATCGCTCAGTTGTACATATTATGTACTGCAGTAGAGTGTTGAGTGCGTATCGCATTGAGTAGGTCAGTTAATGGATTTGATAAATTTAAATGCAATGATAAATCTTTATTCATTGTATATGAATAACGATTATAAGCGGAGTCGGTCTGTCAGCCTAAATATTACTAAGTATATAGTATTATTATCAAATTTATATTTATACAGCTATATCCCTATATTATAGTCATTTCTTTTATATTTTATATATTATAATTTATAGGTAATAATACCATTGATTATAAAACTAGTATTTTTAATCAATGGTAATACCAATACGGTGGGTTGAATTAATTTTTCCTGAAGATATTACATTTATATTTTTTTATCACATTCTATTATTTATCTTAACTTATGAATCAATACCGTATAGGTTCGTGGATCGTGGTTTAAATATTGAATAGCCTAAAATGTATTTAATATTTTGAACATTTTATTGTTTTATTTTTTTGTGTTAAAATATACGTAAAAGTTTCAAGTCGCCAAGAATAAAATATTAAAATAAATTATTTTTATGAATTCTCAACTCAAAATAATTTGCTAATCTTCTTGGTTTTTCAGTATTTTGCCAAGATTTGAACTTTAAATGCTTATAAAAAAAGAAACTGTGACTATGGATTTTTAATATTTTTGAAATGTCATTGCAACAATATAGTAGGAGCCTTGTATTAAATTTTCAAGCATTTTACCCAACAAATAAAGTTTTATCGACAAGACTAATAAAATTGGAAACTGAAAATGTTCCTAAACAGTACAAAAAGTTTCCAAATATTTTCAAAATTTTATGGTGTATATAAAATGAAAATATAAACATTCAGTAAAATGTTCATGTATCTACAGTTATTTGTTTTTGAATAACAATAAAATAACAAAACCGCTAAATGAGAAATCGAGTGAATATCCAATATTGTAAAAATATGAACTTCAAACGCTCATAAAAATGTAATTTGACCTTCTTATAGACATTTTCTTTTTTGATAAAGGTAGATAATCTTATAAGGAATCTTGTATTACATTTTAAAATCTTAGATTTAAAAAGAAAAATTTTTACGAGTTCTTAACTCAAAATAATTTACTAGTTTTCGTGATTTTTCCATATTTTGTTCCTAAACAGTTCAAAACAAATCAAAATATTTTGAAAATTTTATCTAGTATAGAAAATGCAAATATAAACAACTAGTGAAAATTGCATGCATATGATCATTTGTTTTAAAGTTACACCAAAAGCCATAGTCGATTTTGTCAAAAACAGACTTTGAGTAAAAATTCCCGTTTTTCCTAAATTTTTCTTTTGTTTTTCACGGTGTTTTTGAAAATTACTGGGAATTTTAAATTTTGACCTGCCCAAAGCACCAACAATACTCACTTTCCCATCAAACAAGATACTGAAGTCGAAATTCGAAGCATTATTTAAATTTTTTTTGTATTTGAAGATTATTTTAAATACTTTTAAAATGTATTTGAGTATTACTCAAATAGGTACTTAACTATTTATAGTTTTATTTACTTAACTTTTTAAAAGTATTTTTATAACACTGCCAATGACAGTAACATACCTAACTAACGTATACTAAATTATAAACATATTATGAAAATGTTACCATTTATGTGAAATGCTAATATAAATAATTTTTGAAAATTTCAATGATCTACGGTTATTCATTTTTGGGTTACTAGGCGATCCTGTTATTCATATTTTTGTATAGAATTTTTTGTTTCCGATTAACTGTCGAGCAGTATGTAGGCACGGTTCCGTCGCTTATCTTTGATTTTAGTATTCTAGTTGTCGTTTCTGATATTGTGAATTTAAACGCCACTTTATTAATAAACTGTACTATTTGTACCGGAATATGAAATAATCGACATGAAATGTAATAAATGTTCTGATAACATCATTAATGATGACTGCTTAAGCTGTTCTACATGCACAAATTAAAAAGTATTTCACTATTACTGCCAGGGCTTTAATGAAACAACATTTAATAAAATATCTAAAAATAGCATATCTAGACTTGTCTGCTCTGATTGTAAAATTAATTGTGAATCAGGTATATCAACTTATAAGAATAACATTACACTTCAAAGTTTAGCTGATTCCGTTAATTGTATGGGTAATAAATTCGATGACTTCAATATCACCGTTTCGAAATTACTTAATGAAATGAAGGAATGAAAAGAAGAGAACCGAAAAATGTCTGATATTAATAAAAACATAACAACCGAAGTAAATCAATTAAAACGAAAGATTGATGATATTGAACAAAAATCGCTTGAAAAAATGGTCGAAATATCCGGAATACCTACTACCAATGATGAAGATTGTGGTAAGATTGCTGAGGAAATTGGCATCAAACTTAATGTCAATATTCAGGTTGAAAAAGCTGTACGAATTCCTAATAAAAATAATCAATTTTCAAAAATACTTGTTTGGTTAAATAATAAAGATATGAAGTCTAATCTCGTTACAAAATGTAAAAGAAATCGTACTTTTTATGCCAATCAAATAAATGTTAATTGGTCCAGCACTGTGCGAATTTACATAAATGAATATATAACTAAGGTCAGGAGACATTTATTATACAAAACTAAAGAGGCTGCTAGAGAAAAACAATATAAATATGTTTAGACAAATGATGGCGATATCTTAATACTTAAAGATGATCAATCTAAGGTAATTCGTATTAGAGAACTAGGTGACATAGCCACGAAAATACATTAATTTATTCTGTTTTTTTTTCTATTAGAATTGTCATATTATTATACTTACCCTACATTAATTAATGAATAATGATATCCAATTTTGTACATCTGATATTGATCAGGTTAATTCAGTTGTAACACAAAATATTAGTGACTTAAATACTTTAAATCTAGGCAATAAACAATTTTCCATATTTGCTATGAATATAAGTAGTATTAAGTGCCATTTTGATGAATTGTTAGTATTATTAAGTACTTCAATGGTTAATTTTGATATTGTTGTTTTATATGAAACTTGGCTTTTAAATGATGTAAATTTTATTATTAATGGTTATCAATCCTTAAATTCTCTTGCTGTAAATAATAAATCGGATGGTGTTACTATCTTTATTAAGAATAGGTATCAAGTCAAAAACGTTTGTACTAACCTTATGTCTAATGTTAATTCCATTGAATTAAAATTTGATATCAATGGTATAGAGTATGTTGTTACGGGGTGTTATAGGTCCCCTAGTGATAATATTGATGCATTTTTATATTAGGTATTTAAATAATTATTTGACACAAAGTTCTGATATTAAATATCATATTATTTGTGGTGATTTTAATATTGATATTTTAAAAAGTAGTAATCTAAAGGTTATTATTTAAATATTTTTGCTGGTTTTGGTTTTTATTCTTGCATTAATAATGTAATGAGACAATCAAATACTTCTGCTTCATGCTTAGATCATTTCTTAGTTAAGAGAATTTTACCTGGTAATATTAAATCATAATATGTTTTCCTATCTTCAATTACAGATCATTTTAGTATAATCCTATCTATTAATTTAAATATTAATCTGTTGCAGTATAGTAATTGTAATATTACGAATAAAGTATTACGGGTTATTGATTTTGATGAATTAAATATATGTATTAATAGGTAATTTAAATTGGGATATTATACTAAGTAGTAATGATATCAATAATGATGTTATTAATTTTATAAACAAGATTGAGATATTATGTATAATTAATTCTACTAAAAAAATGTCTAGAAAATGTAATTCTTTTAATTATAAATTAAAACCATGGATAAGGCACACAGAAAAAATGTATGGTCAAAAAGTTAAAAATCCAAATAATACTACATTAATTTCTGAGTATAACAAATTTAGAAATTTACTTAACATTTTGATTAAGAACGCCAAAAGTATATATTATCAGAATAAAATATACAATAATAAATGCAATGTTAAAAAACTTTGGGAAACAATTAAATTGTGACTAATAACAAATCAAATACAGTCGAATCCGCTTAATTGGGACACATCGGGCGGTGACCTATTTGTCCCCATTGTCCCGACTGTCCCAATTAACTGAAGAATTTTACAGTGAGGGATTGTCTACTAATGACGCTTTATTTAATATTACTCATTACATTTATGATAATGTTGATAAAAGTAATTATGTAATACGTATTTTTCTTGATATAAAAAAAGCATTTGGTACTGTAAATCTAGATCTGTTAATTAGAAAACTACACTATGCTGGGATAAGAGGTAATATTTTAAAATTAATTAAGTCATACCTAAGTGATATAATTCAAATTGTAAGGGTTAATGGTGAATGTAGTAATGTAAATAATATTTCAATTGGTGTTCCATAGGGTTCTGTATTAGGCCCTTTATTATTCAATATTTATGTGAATGGCCTTCTTAATTTTTCTATAAAAGGTGATATTTATAGTTTTGCTGATGATACAGTTATGCTCTTTAATAATAAAAGTATTGATGTTTTATTTGATGATGTTAATTATTCATTAGATATTGTTCAGAGTTGTTTAGAGTTAAACCTAAATAAGTCTAATTATATACTATTTAATCTTAGATCAAATTAAACTACCTTACATAATTTTTTAATTTGTCCACATTCCTTAAATTGTAAAAATAAAATTGTATCCTGTAATTGTCCACATATTCAAAGAGTAAATCAAATTAAATATTTATTGTTAATATTTGATGAAAAACTAAAATGGAGTTATCATGTAGATAAATTGGTTAATACTATCAGGAAATTATTTTATAACTTTAAAAGTTTAAAATATATTTTAGATATTAAACACTTGAGAATTATTTATATGTCATTAGTTCAATCTTTAGTTTACTATGGATTGCCCTTCTGGGGTGGTACCTATAAATATTATTTGACTCCTTTAAATTCAATTATTAATAGTTTAATAAATGCTATTATCTCTAAGCCGTTTCTATATCTAACAAGTCAGTTATACATTGACTTTAATGTTCAACCTATATCCATGTTATATTATAAATCTTTGCTTTTACTTGTTTATAAATATAGACATTTTTTGAAAACCATAGAACATAGTTATAATACTAAAAATAAATGTAATTCTAATCTTAATTCTATTAAATACTATAATACAGTAGCCTCTCAGAGTCCCATTTACAAATGTACATTGTTGTGTCAGAAATTAAACTTAAATCTTTTTTTCAATAATATTAGCTCTTTAAAATCTTATATTAAGCTTAACCAGTTATGTTACACTTAATTATGGTTTATAAGTTTTTTTTTCTCTCTCTTTTTTACTTTATTCTCTCATGTTGTATTACATTTTTAAGTCATTTAGTTTATATATTATAATGTTATAAGAAACTCTCACTACTTAGCACAAGCTTTAAGCTTTTTAGAAGTGAGTATACCTATATAGTTTATTATTACTTGTACTATTACTATCTTGTATGACTGAACATTTATATTGGCAAAATAAACTTATTATTATTATTATTCACCAAGAAAATGGTTATCAATTATCATTATTGTTTATCGTGGACAACGACCGATGACGGGATGGGATGTCCAAACACATAATATAGTTTAAAACTAATATATAACTCTCTGTAGATAAAAGTTTGTGGTTGTGGTGCATAATTATTACTAAAAAAGAACTAACATGACTGATCAGAATTTTGATAATTGAACAAATCATGTTTTTAAATGCAATAAACAAATTTTTGATTATAACAAATTATATCAGTACTAAATAGAACTTTTTTTTGTTATTTGATGATTATTTTAAATACTTCTAAAATGTATTTGAGTATTACTCAAATAGGTACTTAACTATTTATAGTTTTATTTATTTAACTTTTTAAAAGTATTTTTACAATACTGCCAATGACAGTTACATACATACCTAATGTATACTAAATTATAACCATTAATGTGAAATGCTAATATAAATAATTGGTGTAAATTTCAATGGCCTACGGTTATTCATTTTTGGGTTACTAGGTGATCCTGTTATTCATTTTTTTGTATAGAATTTTTTGACAAATTTAACTTTTTTCACATTTTTCACAATTTTATTTTGAAACTACAAAAATGTTGAAGTACAAAACTACAAAATTACGTATGTTATTATGAAAACCAGCATATTTGTTTTGGTTTATTATAATCATAATTATTGATTTATTGTTATCACATCATTGAGATTAGATAAGAAGGTGGGTGTTCTTCAAAATGATAACAATTAACAAAAATATAAAGTAATATATTTAAGAGAGAATTGACGATCGAACTAATGTATTAAATCGAACAATAAATTCATGTTTATAAGTCTTATAAAGTATAAAACAATGTATCTAGTTAACAGTCGAAATATTACGTTTATGAATTGGAAGCAAAAAATGTGGACTATTGTTTCGAATTTTGGATAAGAACCCAGCTTGTTGCAATCTTTGGTAGGTGTATCTTTATACTATTATTCTTACGATTTATGGTTAAAATTCATGAGTTATTTTACTACAGCAAATACTTGTAAATCTGCAAAGGTCCCAGAAAATTATTTAGGTATCACTATGATATTGTGTTCCTTTATGCGTTAGCGTTACATATTAACAATAACATAGTTGTATTATATTTGTATGGGCTGTGAATTATTAAATATATTCAGAGTAATGCAGCAAAGGAAGTTTTTTTTTAAATAGGATTTAATATTAAAATATATTTTTATTATTTAATATCCGTGGTCCGTGGATTGATGGCAGAAACTGATATGCAAATAGTTAATTTTTGAATTATCATTTAAATAGTTTAGAAATCGTATATTTCATGCATAATATGATTTAATAGGTATTTTCGGATATTTTATTATTTTGATTTATAATATTGCCTTCTTTAGCTTCAGTGATTTTAGTCAAATACTTTTATAGTTAAATTATTAGACTTATTCTCTTTCTATTAAGAAGTAAAATAATAGTTTCATTATCTAACTATAAAATAATAATTTTTAAAAGGTATTAGGTATTTGAGCTGTATAGGTTAGGTAATTCATGACTTTTATTTGGATAAAAATGAATTAAAAAAGTTAATATTTCCATAAATTATATCATTGGTAATAGACTTATAGTATAGTATACTTATAGCTTACGTATACTTATAGTATACGTAAGTTTAGACCAAAGGTATAGAATGTTTTTAAAGGAACTTACACTTTATAAGTACCTATATAATACTTTTTCCTTGATTTTTTATGATTTTAAAAGAATTGAGGTTATTTTTGTTTTCATAATATATTTAAGTTTAAGTATATACTACCATCCAACTTTACTAATATATTACAACAAAACAAAATTTTTACACGATTCGTGTTTTATTAGTTTTAATTTTTAAGGTACTAAGTATTAATTTTACTATGTATAGTTAACTGTATATTTATTATTAATATAATATTGTATGCAAATAGGAATTTGAAATAAAATTAAATCATGATGAGCACGCTAACTGGGGATACTTCACGTCGTCGAATAGCAGCACTGTCATTTTTAACGAATATATCACTAGATGGCACTCATAAAGATACTAACAAATTACTTTTCATCAAAAACAATATTATGTATCAACATCAAAAATCTGAAATGGAGTTTCCATCACTTCCTGACATAGGGATGACAAATGAAGAGAATACGTGTAGTGAAAGTGACATTATCTTGAAACAAATGGATACTGAATTTCATGGTCCTGTAAGATTGACAAAAACACGGTCTTTAACATCCACACCAATAAAATCAAATATGAATGATAAAAATTGTATTGATAAATTTTTTGAACTGGATTCAGATAAGACTTCTGGGAGACTACCATTTCGTGAAAGGTGATTCTGTTGTTTTTTTGTGATTTATTATCATTGAACGTATTTTTCAATAACATAAATTAAAATTTCTAGACTTAACACAACTGGAAGTGATGTAACTATGGAATCAAAAAAATTGGCGGCCTACTATCGTAAACGCATGATTCCTCAATCTTTATTGTCTGATGATAAAAGTAACACAAATTTCAGCAGTTCTGAAAGTCTTGGCTTAGGTAAAAATATGTGCTTATGAAGATATTTTATAAAGCAAAAACCATTTTTAGTTACAATTATATTTAATTAAGTATAACTCAGTACTTATTATTCAAAATATAATATCAATATCTTTATTTCTTAATTATTTTTTGATTTTATGAATTTCAAGACTAATTAGATATATCTCTT